CAGACCTGCTAGGAGATGATGCTGGTGGAGCCAAAACTGAGGAGCAAGTGTGCTACCATGCTGGGAGCTTTGAAATCCTCGCTGCCTGTCACCTTTTCCAAATCAAGCCCAGCCTGGTAAAGCACTGCTCAAACACGAATGATGACTTTATCAAGGGAGGTCACAACTCCCCTACCTTTTGAAGCATCACTTTTGGGGAGCAGAATACCACTGGACTCTTCAACAAAAGAAAACATCAGCTTAGAAAGGAGCGGACCGAGTTTCCTCTTGATCTTGGTAGTCTCCACAGTCACCTTTTCTTCTGGTGTTCAGCTGAGGAAGCCTGCCAAGATGGGTTTCCTCTTGATCTTGGTGATCTCCACAGTCACCTTTTCTTCTCCTGGTGTTCAGCTGAGGAAGCCTGCCAAGACAGCTTTTATTTTACCCTTCACCAGCTTAAAAGACAATTTTAAAGCACGCATCGGTTCTCTCAGACCTGACTACAGGCCATCACGCAGGCAAGCTGAGATGCTTCTAACATTTATTTCAGCATAATTTTCCTACAGAGGTATCCAAAAGGAATGTATCTTTTTCTTATCACTTGAAATTCTTACCATCCTGGTAATGTGTTTAACAGCTCGATCTGCTTTCGCAGCCTCTGTTACATCTTGGCAGTTACTGCTGAAAATCCACCCTGTAGTTAAGGCCTTGTCTCCTGCTGCTAATTAGAGACTGGCATTTCACAAGGACAAAACATTCATTGCCCACTGCTGAGTAATCCCTCAAATATTTATGTTCTGCTACTATTCCTAACAGAACCATCTATAACCGCTGCTCTCCTTTCCCATGATCCCAATAAACAGTATGGAATTACTGTACAAATGTACAAGAGTCACTTTAATAAAAGAGCAAGAAGAAAGTTTTAATCCCAGAGTCAACTCAAAGACTTCAAAAAAAGACCAGGACCATACACAGACTTAAATACGAAAGGCGTACAGTTACCTTCAGAAGCTTCCCAATTACTGATTTACTTCTTAATGCACTGAGAGGCTTACATCTGACATAACCAAGGTGAAAGAAGAAGAGTAACTGTATTAGGGCGGGCTGTTGGATCACCTAGCCCAGAATCCCAACAACGTCAAGCGCAGATACACAGGGAAAGAATACAACAGGGCAACTGCAGGACACGCTTGGCTGCTTATACTCCCCCGGCCACTGGCAGATGTGCTTGCACCAATTTAGTGATTTATACAAAGTCTTAATTAGGAGATTCTGGTTCATCAGTTTTTCACTGAAAAAATGTTACTTCATTAATATAGGAGCTGTATAGAAAACCTGAACGGTTTCACCCCACGATATTTTTCGTGGTTAGTCACTACTGTACCGTCTGTTTGCACTGTGCAAGAGTTAACACAAGATGAAAGAATTTGTTAACAATAACTTCAAGAAAACAATCATAAAGACAGGTTTCTTAGGATACACATCTAAATTTTAAACACCTACAAATACATTAAAGAAGGTAAAGCATATTATAGAGAAACAGTCAAAAATCCCTGTGGGAAGACTATTGCCCAAGTGGTGGCAAAGCATTTAACAAATAAGTAGACGGTCCTGTAAGGTACTTGCCTCATCAGCAAGAACCAACTGTTAATTAACCTGCTTGAGGGCAGGCAAGAAAGAAAAAGCAGCCTCTTAAAGTAAGGGAAGCACAAAAATCACTAGTGTGTTTTGAAAGATTTGACAGAAGTTACTGACTTGGAGAGGAAAACATTTTAGGTCTCCACTCATTTTCTAGCTGATGAAGGGCGCACATGTTCAAGCTGGTTACTGTGGCTCCAAGCAGTGTTAACGGAACGACTGGCCAAATTCAGGACATGGCAATCACCGAAAAGTTCAAGATATTTAAAGCACCAGCAGGATAGCCTCCCGCTACGTAACTAGCCTTCCCGAAATAAACAGGGACTACCAGGGACAAGCGCATTAAGAATGAACTCGCGTCCCACCCTCTGCCATTAACTCTGTTAGCAGTCATAATTAAAACTTTTCTACTTTCCTTGGCTGTGATCATCAATTCTGTACTCAGGAGCCCTCCAGGAAGCTGCATTTCACAAGAAGTTAGAGGAGTCTGTGCAAAAGGCCACATTGCTATTTTTCCTTCCTGTGTACACAACTTATTTCCTTCAGTATATTAAGAATGAATTATTTTATTTGTGAAAAAGAGCTATGTAGACTTTTAAACAACTCTTGAGCAGTTCCTCAAGGCACCACTCTCATCTCTGTACTTTTGATTTGAAACAGATCCATTTTAATTTCACAGATACAGACTTACTGTCTGGTTTGTAATCATGCATAATGTCAATAATGGGTGACTACCAAGGATTTTTGCAGTTGGCTGGCTTTCTCAAAAAAAAAAAAAGTTACGAATTTTGGAAACATTTTACTATGACTATTTGAATTCAGAAATTTTTACTTTTGAATCACACTGAAACATTTTGCTCAATAATACCTGTGTTTTGAACAAAGGCTGCTTATATAAAATCAAACTTGAAATAATGTCAATAATGGGTGACTACCAAGGATTTTTGCAGTTGGCTGGCTTTCTCAAAAAAAAAAAAAGTTACGAATTTTGGAAACATTTTACTATGACTATTTGAATTCAGAAATTTTTACTTTTGAATCACACTGAAACATTTTGCTCAATAATACCTGTGTTTTGAACAAAGGCTGCTTATATAAAATCAAACTTGAAATAGAGCTGTTTTGACCAAAGCTTGTTTTTATGTCATTGAGAAATCTTAAGTTTCCCAGGATTCTATATTATGAAGATTTCATGTTTGCTGGAAAACCCCTAGTCATAAAACTTTGCCCAGATACACCTGTACATTTATGAACTGCCTCACACGAGGAAAGAGGAGCCATAATGAAGCAGCTTTCCTCTGTATCTGTAGAGAAATGAAAGGAAGCCAGCTGACCAATAATTAACAAATTTAGCCTATTGATGCAGAAGTTCAGTGTAGGCGACCCTGCTTCGGCAGGGGGGTTGGACTAGGTGACCCCCAGAGGTCCCTTCCAACCCTGAACATTCTGTGATTCTGTGATTCCTCTGTATCTGTAGAGAAATGAAAGGAAGCCAGCTGACCAATAACTAACAAATTTAGCCTATTGATGCAGAAGTTCAGTATAAAACTCCAATTTAAATTCACCAACCCAACTTAAGTACGTCACATTATATGTGCTAGAGGTTGAAAGACCAATCCCTTCTGACACCAGTTACTCGTATCCATTCTTTACCCATCAGGTAAGCTGCTTCCCTCTCTACGGACTAGTTTTCAGACACAGCAGCAGACGGCTTCACGGTTGGCTGTTGGATAAACAAGGCCCCTTACAAGTAAGAAGCCTCAGGCTCATTTCCAGCTTCTGGAGACCACCACCTCAGAAGCCTACCTCTGGTCACCACAGGGCTCCGCACTTCCCACTTCATCCTCCACAGTTTAGCAGCATCAGTGTTGGACGAACAGCACGGAGAACAGCAGCAGATCGCCATTCTGTGTTCAGGCAGGAGTCGAGAGAACTCTCCTACTGAGTGACAGTCACACAAATCGAAGCAGCAAAGTACAGTCACTAGAGGCAGATTCAGTAATTCTGTTGCTGTTTCTTTAGTAGGGCCACAGTTCAGTATACGTACCCCTCTGTTCAAGCAAACAATAGCAACCTCTTCTTCCCCCACAAAAAAAATTCAAGTCTCTGCTTCAAGGCAAAGAAGCAAAGTAGCCTGAAGTACACAGGACAGCGTATTTTTAAAAATTACAGAAAATTAAAACTTCAGTCAAACAGTTAATTTCGTACAGTTGCAAGCAATTTAAGTATGTCTTTAACATTTTAACATCAGTGCTTCTTCCAGGTAAGAGTCAGGATAGCACTGATCCATCAGTCCTAAAAAAAGCTGTTTTTCACAGTAGACCACCAGCCTGGAGTTTTTCAGAAAAAAAGCAGAAATTATATGACCTGAGCAAAGCTTCATGGAGATTTTTACCTCAAAAGAAATACAGACGAAATGGAGTTCTATTCAGGAACCTTTATTTTTTTTTTTTTCCTTAATTTACTTTTTTAAACAGGCTTAAAATATGCAAATGAAGAAAAAGTATGTGGCTATTATAAATAACATAAATCAGATAACCTTACACAGTAGCACTACGAACACCCCAGCAGGGAAAGAATACAGTACCAACAGCAAATACAAGCAATCATCAAGCAATCAAACTCGCCAAATTCTAGGCAAAAACATTCATTCATCAAGTGTACGCTTGCCACTGATGAAAGGATTCTGGTCGGGTACAACTCACCCTGATGATAAGGTTCCTTTTCAGAAGAGAGACCGTTATTTCAGCCACGTGCACATGAGGTGGGTTCCTCATCCTGCTTACAGTTAAAAATAAATACTTTATGTTTGTGTACAGTGCTCTTCAACAGCGGTCTCAAGAACACTAACAATTTCTTACAAAACTCTCCTGCGAGGTAGGTGTATCATCATCCCCATTTTACAAATGGAAGAGAGATTTGCCCAGAGTCTCACAGCTATTTCGTATCAGAGCCACGAGCGCGTCCCCTGACTCTGCACCAAACCTTCTCCAGTAGGCAATGCTCCTTTTTAGGTTATATTATTGCATTCAAAAAAAGTTATTTTAAGACAATATATATGTTTAATATTACAATATAGCATTTTGTAATAAAACAAGAATACAGTATAGATCATCTTTGAGGTACCATTCCGCTCCCCTCCCCAACTCTTCTACCTGGAGATAACCAAAATAATTCTGGGCTAATGAAAATAAGTTTTTAAAACTATGTGCCGTAGGACCAGATATGCAAGTGACTGGAAGCATTTTGTTTCTGTTCATTTGTGTTATTTCTCTAGTGCCAACTTACATCGGGCACTAGGACCATGCAAATCGTGTTACTTTAAGATGGTAAGCAGTTGCATGTCTTCAGTTTTGCAGTTTAGTGTCAATAACTCCAGCCAATCTCAGTAACTACTATAGATACCTTTCTCAAACTTAGTATAATGGTCATCTAAAACTACTTCCCCCTACAAAAACCTCTTAAAACACTTTTGCAGCTACACATTCAGCTCCCACATCCACTAAGTGAGAGTCTTGATTAAGACAAACACATTTGATTTCAGGTTTTAACAAATTTCCATTTTCAAGTTTTATAATGAAGTGACTAACTCCTGTATTGGGACTGACAGAAGACAACTGAGACTTTGTTAAATTTGTCGGTAAAGTACAGTTGAGATCTGAAACAAAATAACCAATCCAGTTCCTCATGTAGGCTCCATGACTCACCACTAATATATTGGCATCTAATATTTTAGAAGCTCCACCGTTATCAGAGCTAAGTTCTGCTTCACTGCAGTGGTTTGTCCAAGGGAAAACAAACTGTTCTTCAGATGTTCCTGAGCTTCTGCTTGCCGCACCATGTGTGTCTTGCTCCTTCTGTTCCAATTCAACAGCTAGCCGACACAGAAATTCAAAAAAATCCCTTGCACGTTCTCTAACCTAAAGAGAAAGGTCAGAAGACTACACTGTGAAGGATGCAAGTGACTTCGATTTTCAGAAATCTGGGATATAACTAATTCAGTTAAAAGACAAACATTTATCAGACAAGCCTCAGAAAATCAATGGTAAGTTACTGAGTGCTGTAAACACTCCTCTGCCCTCCAATGCCAAGGCTGAGGGTAACTGCCATCATCCTTCTGCCAACGAGAGCTTCATGAGGAGTCAGTCTCAAAACCAGGATTTTAGGTCTAAAGAGATTCCCCACTTGGCAGCCGCTGCAATCAGGTCAAGTAGTGCTTTTAGCTTTGAAAATAACTGCCTTTGGTTGGGCTAAGCTCTCAATGAGATGTTCCTAAGTACGCAACAGCTGCATCTGCACTGATATAATGGCCTAGAAAGCAGGGCACAAATAAATAAATACCATACTTCATCCAGTGTTTCTCCTCCGGAAGGCGTGAATGAAGGACACTGCTCTCCCACAGCCTTTGCCATAGCCTTGAGGTCAGTCAAAGGCCTTCCTTCGGCAACACCGTATTTCTGTCAGAGGCAAGTTACAGAGAGCGGGTTTAGCAAGATGTATCAAGTCTCCAGTACTGCTTCCAACGTGAACATCTCTTAACAGCTTTGCTTTCTTGGATTTTCCAGTGTAACATACAGGCTTAACTACCTTTTACATTTTATCCCAGTATTGGGGGAGGAGGGATCTTTATATCCACTATTTAAGTGAAAAATACATATGTAAATTGTGGGTGTATATATATATACACGCTGGGCAGAGAAATACATTAAGAGCAGCATCTCACTAAAAAGTACCAACATTCAAAACACTACCTTCAGCCTGATCTTTGCCTTGAGATTTTTTCCTACATCCTTCCTTGACACTCACTCTTAGCGTACAAAATTCAAGTGTCTTTCTAACTGAGGTTACGTCGCAAACACTTCCATGTACCTGTTCACATGAGGATAAACTCCATTTACTTCTCATTTGCAGAAGACCACAGGGAATTGTTTTTCACAAGAAACAAATAATTTCTCTACAGACCTCTGAAATCTCTACAACAGAGGAGTCTATTTTAAAATCAGAATTTTTTACAAAGACAAAAAAAAAAAAAAGACATGAAAAACCCAGAAAAACTCTACCTATTAAAAACAAACACTAAGGCCTCCCCCATTTTTTCAGGACCTACATTACCGCTGTGGACAGTGTTTTCAGAAAACAAGAAAGGCAAAATGATCTTAAAAATGTATGCTAATAGACTCACAGAACATGCAATTAACCATCTTCAATGACATGCTTATTTCTGAGACCTCCAAATGCAAGGCCCACACGAGAAGCAGTAGTAAGAACCCAGATATACCAACTAGCTGTTCTGGACCACCAGAAGTCACATTACAAAACATAATATTTATCATCTGTAACGTATCTACAAGATCAGGCAGAGAGGCTAATCAGGAAAGCAGACCGTTCCACGGGCAACAGAAAGCTTTCTGGTAGTCTTTGTGCAAATGAGCAGGTATAAACAGCTAAAAAGCCAAGACAGAGTTGCACCATCAGGCTAGAGAAAGCAGGCAGAGGCAGTATCTTTAACACTTTACGTAAGAGGATAGAAAACAGAGCTAAGCTTTTTATTACATTTAAGATAATTCCCTCCACATGTAAACTTTACCTTAAATCATTAAAGCATCACAGTCACAGCACTAAGCACTAAATTTCCCTTTGCTTCAAAATTCTGCAAACAATTTATAGTACCTGATGTGAACAGTTCAGTTTTCAGTGATTACAACCACATCAAACAGCACTCTCCACTGTTAAGTCTGCCATTTAATGAGCCAAAATATTCATCAGCAGTAAGTGACATCATTTTCAAATTGTTCAGTGCTCATTATTAAAACAAACTCTTTTGGCACTTACTCTCTCTCGAAGTCTTGCATCATACTTGATTTCCAAATCTTTGCAAAACTTATTTTTTCCTAGAATCGTGGCAGCAGTCTAAAAAGTGAATATACAGCCATATCAACAAGTTGTTTTCTCACGGGACAGCCAGACCATCTTACACCACCACAGCCAATGTGAATCTCATTAGTAGTACCCAACAACGCAAACAAACGAGATAACATTTTCTCAGCTAGTAGTGTCTGTCAGAACGGGATATGTAGCCTACGTCAGGCCATAAAAGGCAGAAAAGCTGCAACCCCCTGAAAGTTCTTTCACAATTCAAAGTCCAGAACAGTTGAAGACACTTAGCACCCACGTAAGGTGGGCAGCAAGACGCACAGCAGCAGCAGGATTTACTGGGATAAAAGCCACCTCTTCTCTGGTGTACACTGCTACTCACAAAGCAATCAGGCTGATGCATTCTTTACGTGTGGCACGCGAGTCGGACTCACCAGCAGTACGTTCCTAAAAACTAATCAGTTAATCCAACTGCAAAAAAAATAGCACCTAAAAATTAAATTACTTTTTGACAAGCGGCTACTTGATGCACCTCAGAAATCAAATAGTCTTGAAGCAGTTCAGAGGCAGGAGTGTGTTTGCTGAAAGCATACCAAAGTGTCAGCCTCAGTGTTATGACGGGGAAATGCACTGGATGATGCACGGGGGGAGGGGGGAAATCTAGTTTATTGTATTCACCTGCCTTTTGATAGCATGGCCAAGAGATGGCGAAAATCCAAAGGGCGCAGTGTGCTTTTAAAGATACTTTGGATGTCTTGAGTTTTGTGCTATACATCTTTGTTTCTTCCAAGGAAGCATGAGATTTTGGGGGTGCAGGGAGGGCAAGACAATTGATCGAGAGGAAATTCTGATACCACTTTGGAAAAAGTATTGCCTAACAGAGGCTCTAGCATGCTGGATATTATACAGCTGCCTGGCTGCCACAGCCAATAACGGGAACTCAAGGACAACTAACCTGCTCCTGTTCTTATATACACCAAAGCGTGAAGGCTGTACTGGATTCGCACAGAGTTTTGAGCAGTAATGTCAGCTGGAAGTCTTGTGCAAATGTCCACATCCAATTGAACGGACATTCAAAGCACTCATTTTGAAAAAAACTCCTTGGATTCTGGAAAATAAGCAGCCTTGTTTTACCAACAAGATTTTATGACCTGTTTAATGTATGTATTGCTTAGGAAAGGCCTTCTGTTGCAACTTTAAATTTCTGTGACGGAGTAATATCAAAATTCAGACAGGGTTGAATATATTTTCCTGTATATATGAGTAGCATAGTTAATTGTATGACTATATTCTGAAATTTCTCCAGGACTGGTATCTCGTTCAGTATATAGAACAGACAACATTTACTTACTGAGCACTAATTCATACCCTGAACTGTAAATAAAAATTAAGCTTCATTTACTGTGCTGAAACCACAATCTGCTCTGAAGAAGCAATTAACTTCCTCACACCTTTCCTAGACCATCCATTCCTAGAACACCAGCACGCTTCAGAAACGTCACCAGTTTATACGTGGAAAAGACTCAAAGATTTTCTCTCGTTCTTCTCAGGGCCCAGCCTGTCCCAGTCCCGAACCCACCTTCACTGCTACAGAGCTCACATCCCAACACCATGAGCATCTCACAGTAGGCCCCATATTCCCCTGCAGACTTCGGTGTTACGCTCTGTTAAGCTCCCAAGTCTTACAGAGTTACGCTCTGTTCACACCACATCCCAGCCTACCCAACTAGTCTTTTTTTATTTTCACATTGCAGGTCTGAATCACAGAATCACAGAATGTTCGGGGTTAGAATGGACCTTTGGGGGTCAGGGTGGGTCTTGAATATCTCCAGAGAAGGAGACTCCACAGCCTCCCTGGGCAGCCTGTTCCAGGGCTCCGTCACCCTCAGAGGGAAGAAGTTCTTCCTCATGTTCAGATGGAGCTTCCTCTGCTTCAGTTTGTGCCCGTTGCCCCTCGTCCTGTCGCTGGGCACCACTGAAAAGAGTCTGCCCGCTCTCTTCTACACTGCTAATTTCTGGAGCTAGTCTTTGGCCCTCCCTCCTCAGCTTATTGCTCAGACAGGCTTCCCTGCAAAGCCTCTCTCCTCTGCATGTCCTATACGTGCTCACTTCACACCCCCTTGAGCTCTCGGAATTCCTGCCAGCTAGCACAACTCCCCTTGCGTACATCCCCGTTTTCTCCTGTCCTGTTCAGGCTTGAAGGTTCAGCTGCCAGCCACGGGCAGCAGCCAGCGGACCGCGTACCACTCCTGGTTCCGGTAACCAGGACGCACCCTGACTCCAGCAGATGCAGGAGACATTGCAAGGAAAACTAAACTTTACCACTAACAGTTTCTTTAAAAAGTTTCTTCCACTTTTGCAAGGGAACTTGTACATTCCTCTCATACTTGAGCTATGAAGTGACAGCGTAGTAAAGGACAATTCTTCACAGATTTGCAGCTGCCAAAAAAAGGGAGTTCCAAGCAAATGGAAACTACAGCTTTACACATCTTTGGAAAAGCCTTCACAAAGTCTGGATAGCTTGTCAGACAAACAGCAAAACATATTTCCTTTATGCAAAGAACAGATTCAGGTCTGTCTTCCACATTATGAGTGTGCAAAGGCTTCTCATGGAAAAGGCTGTCTCTAATAGCAGGAAAAAAAATTACCAACCTCACTCTCAAGCGTCTGAGCATTCAGAAACAATTCCCCTAAGGCAGGCATGCAGCACAGAGTCTTATGAACTTTATAAAGCACTATTAATATTTTTAAATGTAATCACCGCCATTCACACACTTACAGGGCATGACTTGTCAGGCAGTTACTAACCACTTTAAAAATACCCAATTACTGCACTCCTCCCTCCCTCTCTAGTTTGTTTTCTGCCTAAGCGGTGCTGCTAAAACAGTTCACCGGACTGTGCTGCGAAACTGATGAGCAATGCTGATCACTTATGTTTTAAGAAGAAAATGGGGTTTTATGCTAGATTTTGTTGACATGGTTTACAGCAACGCATCACAGACTTTTGTAGCAGGACAACAAAGCAAAAAGCAAGCAACCACCAGGGCTATCAAGAATTGCTTAGTAATTTCAATCACATGAAGTCCACACGTCTCCTGACATCACAGCATCAGTAACAGAAGAGAGAATTAAGGAAAGGGCTTCCACAGGAGACATGACCTTCCTAGAACAGCTGATCTATGCCTCTACTTTTCAAACTTCTGTTTCCCTAATTTTCTGAGTATTTTGTAATCTTGCACACAACACACATCACACGTAATCCCACTCAGTAATTATCTTTTTTTTACCCTCTTTAATTAACCTGATAAAATAGTGCATGAAGGTGAAAGGTGTGCTATTACATTCCTGCCAAAATCCAACCTGCACATTTAAGAATCCTTGTACTGACTTTACAGCAAAACTTCTCTTGCCTTTATTGGCCTGCATTCCTCAGAAAAACATGGCACACTGCCACAATGCATAAGGCACTACAACAGTATCACAGAGAATTTGTTTTGTTTCTTTTCTTCAAAGGAAAATGGACTTTGGTCTGTGTTACCTCCAAGTCCTGATTACTCCTTTAGCAAGAACCTATGCACATATAAGATAGTGGCAAATCCATAAGAACAACACTGCATGACATCCTGCAAAGCAAGCTGCCCTTCATCGCTTCCTAACTGACCTGTTTCCGTCGAAATATCCTTACTCATTGAGGCCTTCCTGAATTCCACACCACTCAAACTGCAGTTCCAAGTCCACCAACATAGCTTTTGGCTCTCCATCACTGTATTACTTCTGCATCATCGATAGCAAATAAATGCCAAATTCTGAAACTAATATTGACATTCAGTTGCCTCAAGAAGCACTTGCCTGCTTTGCTCGAAGGAGGTCACTTGAAAAGACGTGAGTAAACTTCACATTACTGAGAAATAAACCAGCAGCATCTGCTTGTCTGAAACCAGTTGCAGAGAGCGGCTCATCCACTCCTTGACCTACAAAATAAAACCAAATCAACATTAAGACAGGCGAAATTTAGATCATTTAGCAGCTGAACAAGCATGGCAGCAAGGAAGAATCCGCTCGGTCATAACAAAATGCTGCTCCTTCAGTAAAGCCAACCCTTAGTAAAAGACACTGTTCCTCTGGTCTTCCCTAAACCCAGTCACACAAGTTGTGTGAAACAAGGGAGTACAAGCTAGGAAGACAGAAGGAACATTATTGATGATATTTATACTAATGTATACCTAAGACAAATTAAAACATAAAACAGAGGCCTACATCTAAATGTAAGTAGTCACTCCAAATCACTTGTGCTTTTTAGAATGGTCACTGGCAGGCTTCCTGAAGAGGAGTCTCACAACTGAAACGCGATTAATAGATTTGTTGATTGTAAGTAAGAAAAAAGACAATACAATTGAGATACTGTTGTTGATACTAAAATAACGTATGTGGAAAAAACATGCACATGAGGAGAGTCAAGCCCTGACAGCTACGAAATGCCTGCTCCTCCCCATTCCCTAACACTGACAATGCCTTGCAGAAATGAGGCAACACGAAGAGATTCTGTGTAATGCGGAAAGCAGCACCCACTCTCTGCCAGAGACACAGTTTCACAAGAATTTTACAGCTGGTGTAAACACAATCTGTCGTGGTCTCTTCCTCTCCCCTGCTCCACCTCGCACACTGACGCTAATGCTCATGCAGCTGCACAGCGAGCACGTTGATGGAACAAACCTAACTGAAAAGCAGCAACCCTCCCAAAAACTGTTTTCAGCCAGAGCAGTCTGTGGAACTAACTGGCCACAGAGATCTAGGAGAGCACAGAGAGAGCCAGAACTTCAGTAACCCAACTCGAACGAAATAGGTGTGCTCCGGTCACAGCTCAGAGAGCCTGTAGGAGACCCAAGAATGGTGGCAGAGGGGCAAATCTGTAACAAATGACTACGTCCACACTTGTATCACCCATTTTCCTTTTGTAGGAGGTCAAAGCAGAGCGCGTGCAATTCTCATCAGATCCAGAACAATGACAAAACCAATTTTCACCAAGAAAACACACAATCATTTACATGCTTCAACAGCAAAAGACAGGACACCAGAAGTCCAAAACATGAGTTCTAAGCACCTCGTCTGTAATTCAGCCATGTGAGACCTCAGACCATGGTGGCCATGCGAGTATAGGTCTTACACCTCTCAAAACACAAGGCAGTGTTCACTTGCTACACTGCAGAGGGGAGAGGAACCTACTACATGTCATTTGACACAGAGGGCTAGGAATTTAAAAGACATCACTGGTACTTTTAAGAACATAAAGCATGGGAATATTCTTTATTCAGTTTATTACAAACACAAAGCCAGCCTGCAAGAACCATAAATTGCAATGTCAAAACAGAGGTAGGAAAAGCTGGAAGCACAATTCTTCTTCACAGCATGTAGCATTGTATAAAGTTTATTTAATCAGAGTACAGCCCCACCGGGTTCCCTGTAGCAGTGAGCCTTGGTTTTCCTACAACAGACATCCAAGCAGCTCAGCGTTCTCAGTCCTGGGTGTACAAGCCAGCAGTCACTAAGGAGCAGCCTGGTTTTAAATGTTTTGTCTAAAGACTGCCTTCCCAGAAAGAGCTGGATTGAACAGTTCCAGCATTGAAACAATCTTTACTTTTCATACTCCCTTGCTCTACTGTAGGCTTGTTTTGCAAGTGACAGATACCTTCTTATGGCAATAGCCTCCTTTACAACACGACCTTTATTCACCCTTGCGCAGCTCCTGACCAGCTCCATCGTACAAACGCACACCTGGCTGGTTCTTCACCACAGCTGCAGCTCCCACTTCTCACGTGAGTCCCAGAAGCCCTTATCCCAGGCGTCATACTACTGAGATTTATCACGCTGCTACGGGAAACTCAGGCATCCTTAACAACAGGTGCTGCTGTCATTTTGTTGGGTTACAGGTAACTTTTTTCCCCGTTTAGAAAAAGGAACTACTCCAGTACCCCCGTTAATACCAGAAATGTATTGCTATTTCTTGATACCCTGTGGAGACCAACTTAGAATCTTCACAGTCCTCTCAAGCTATCAAGCTAACGTCTTGGCTTACAAATAAAGTCTCCTAAGGTTTGTAAGATTATTCTGTCATAATACTTAACATTTCATCAGTTTGTTACAGGATTTCACATTTTGCAGGGAAGAATAATTTCGCATCTCTAGCAGAATAACTGATACTAACCTTGCAGTATCTTGTCTTTGTTGTATCTTGTTTCTCCACTGAAAGAGATGATAAAAAGAAAGTTCACATTAGTTTTACTGAATGTTCAAAAACATTATTGTATTTGATAAGCACAGAGGACAGCAGAGTCTGAATAGGAAAAATGAGATAAATTACAGCACAGCCTCTTTACAAAAAGATGTATTTGAAGACTTCACAATGAAACAAAAACATTTTCAAGTAGCCAGCCCCAATCATGCTGTCAATACTAAGACAAACCTACCTGGAAGAAAAGGAAGTAATTTCTTAAATTTATCAAAAATGCATTCTAATTTACCTATTACAATTACACCTCCATGCTGGAGAGAAGGAAGTTTCAGGCAGAGTCTGCAGCCCTCTTAGGCAAAGCGTGCGCTAGCCAGCGGGACCTCTGCACTTCAGAGGGAAGCCAGTTCAAGAGATCATCAGACAGCAGCAGAGCAGGCTGCACACCTTGAAGTAACACAGCATTAAGTAGCCAGAGCTGTTCAAAAACCAGTAGAACGAATACGACCTTCTTTAGGAACTAGGATATTCTCTCTTGAAAACTGTAATTGAAGGCATTTCCAAAGAAGAGCAACTAAAACTGTGCAAACTTATTCAGGAGGGAAAATCTAACAACTAAACTTGACACGAACAGAGTTAAGCGTGCTGACTTTGTTGAGACTCTTCACCCGACTGAAATGTCACGTGCTGAAGTGTCTGCAGTACTAAGGCCAAGTGTGCTGCTTGGTTTTTATGCCGAGAGCTATCGACACCGCTGCGTGGAAGTCCTCAAGATGAGCCCTAAACGGGTAACTGATCACAGAAGACCAGTACTTTTAATCTAAAACACCATATTTAAACTCTTTCCTGTCTTGAACAGCAGGCAGCAATTTAATTCTTCAGGCTCTGCACGCTTCCCAACAGCTACTTCCAAACTCCCGAGGAAAACGCGGCAGTCTGGGTGGGGTCCATCCCGCTGGTCACCCACTGGGGTGCAGGCTTCCCAGTTCAAGAAAGATGAGGAGCTACTGGAGAGTCCAGTGGAGGGCTACGAGGATGATGAGGGGACTGGAGCATCTCTCCTATGAGGAAAGGCTGAGGGAGCTGGGCTTGTTCAGCCTGAAGAAGAGAAGGCTGCGAGGGGACCTAATAAATGCTTATAAATATCTGCAGGGTGGGTGTCAGGAGGATGGGGCCA